TGCACGTAATTTCCGGGGTCACAGAGCTTGTACGAATATCAGATCAACTAAGCGATCAAATGGGTGTCAAAGTCACCTGGCGTATCATCTGCAGCTCCTCACTGTTTGCGCCAGCAAGAGCCTGCCAGACCGGTTTGACCCCATCCACGAGCGTCTTGAGCATGAGAACGTTGTTGATTGACTGTTCCATATAATGGAAATCTTGTCTCGTCGACATGATGGCAAGCTGCATGACTTAGTACTGGAAAAGTCGGATATTTCGATAACGAACCGTGGTAAGCACACGGTCAGCATCAACGAATGATTTCAGGGCTGGTCCCCGTTAGCAGGTTCTTCGCATAGAAAAGACCTAGTACCGGTTCGAACTGCAAAGAACATGTCCTCCTTGGACGTGAGCTCGCCAAGAGCTTGCTGCCTCTTTCCGATCTTTTCTGCATCTGTTGATGGTTGCAGGACATTGCTTCGGAGGAACCGAGCACCCATTGGTGTCAATGTTTGGTTCAACAACCCCAGGAGGCAGTCTCGAGATTTGTCGTTCTGGAGGTTCTGGATCAGTTCAAGCGAAGCCATTGTGGAGAGGTCGATCATGGTCGACCCTTCAGAGGGTTCAAATTTGATGCGCAACGTTTGCGGAGCGAACGTCAATTCCATGGCAAGACCGATGTACTTCATCGCCTGTATCTGTTAGGGACACGCAGAAGAAATGGCAACCACCTGCAACATACGGCCGAAAAACAGCATGTTGCAAAGTAGTTTCCGGCAACAGACAACTTCAACGACTCCAGATCGTCCGGGAACGCCAGTTGATGCACATAGTCATGACCACTAGTTTCAGACCAGTATCTACGCTCGATACCGGTCATGGCGATGTCAAACTTTTGTACTTCGAGGTTCTCGGCAACAATCGAAACGAGTTTCGAATCTTCAGCAGTCTTCATGTAAATGATCTCGGAGGGGGCGAAGACTCTGATCTTGTGGCACGTGCGAGCGTAGGTTTGCGTGTCAGTGAACTGGCAGAGGACTGCTTCAGAAGTGGAAATATTGACAAAGGAGAGGCCGATGGTAGGAGATACGCCTCGGGACTCGCAGATTGCACAAATGATTTCATTGTCACTGTAGCTGGTGGATGTTGCCACGGTTCTGGGACGCGACCTACTACCTGATTGGGGTCTAGAAGTAGTGTTCGTTAGCCTTGCGGTCAGGGTGTTTCTGCCGCTAGAAGAGGGTGCTCGTGGCGTGGATGCCATTATATTACAGGGGTTTCAAGCTACCAGACGAGTGACTGAAAGATGTCAAGATGTGTACGAGCACACGAGAGAGGTAGGCTGCTGGCTGGTAGGCTGAAGGCTGAGGTTGGTGTTGGAGGCGTGGCCGGGAGAGGAAGGTTTGCCGCATATTTCCCCCGCACGAGGCTGTGGTCCGCTATCATTTCTGCGTCCACCACAATTTTCTGCGTAGGAGCCTTGAGCCAGAGATCAGGGCCATTTTGTCGCACAGAGCCAGCATGGCCACCTTGGCGCCGCCTCCTAGCAAGCGGCAAAAACTCGCTGCTGAAGAGAAGGCAGAAAGAGCGCTGGAGGAGTCAAGAGTTCCAGACGACTTGGGTAGTGTGAGAGTGCAGTTTGTCGATCAGAGCACGGGAAAGTCAACGGGACCGGTGGTCGCGGTGCCTGTGAAAGATGCCACTGTCAAAAACCTTGAGACACTTCTCAACAGTATACAAGGCAATGTATGAATACTGGATGAACCAGAGACTTGCGCTCAGATTGCTGAACTTGTTTAGGATCCTACTGAGCGCCTACCTTACCGCTTCTTCTTCCAGAATGACCGAATTTCGAGTTCCCACGGACCTGTGGGAGCCATTGTTGATGTGCAAACTGACCTGTACAACTCCATCCTCAAACCCGGCCTGAAGACTACCGAAGACAATATCATCCTCCAGTTCACACCTCAGGCTGTCTTCCGCGTCCGCGCCGTTTCAAGATGTTCTGCGTCAATAGCAGGGCACGGCGAAGCCATCCTCGCAACTGCGTTTTCACCAGAGACATCGTCTAGAATGGCCACGGGTAGTGGGGACAACACCGCACGGATATGGGACTGCGACACGGGAACACCTCTGCATACGTTGAAGGGGCATACAAGTTGGGTACTTGCGGTGTCATGGTCTCCTGATGGCAAAATCCTTGCTACTGGAAGCATGGACAACACCGTGCGGCTGTGGGACCCAAAGACAGGAGAGTCCCTGGGTGGGCCATTGAAGGCACACACGAAATGGATCACAAGTCTCTCGTGGGAACCATACCACAACCAGGCACCCGGAAAGCCTCGATTGGCATCGGCCTCCAAGGACGGCACAGTCAGAATTTGGGATATCCCGCTGCGCCGTATCGAGCAGACTCTTTCCGGGCACAAGGGATCGGTCACCTGTGTGCGGTGGGGTGGGCTCCATCGTGTTTTCACCGCCTCCCAAGACAAAACGATCAAAGTATGGAACTCGCGAACGTGGAATTGTCTACACACCTTATCGTCGCACACTCACTGGGTCAACCACCTCTCTCTCTCCACTGACTTTGCCCTTCGAACGTCTTATCACGACCACACGGGAAAAGCCCCGTCAACCGCCGAAGAAAGAGTTGCTAAAGCAAAAGGGCGATTCGAAGAGGCTGCACGTCAGGACGGAAAGCTGGTCGAAAGACTCATCTCGGCATCGGACGACAACACCATCTACCTGTGGGAACCGTCTTCCTTTGACCCAGACTCGAAGGCGACCCCTAAGCCCATTGCACGCTTGTTGGGCCACCAAAAACAAGTTCTGCATGTGTCCTTTTCTCCCGACGGCCACTACATTGCCTCGGCCAGTTTCGACAATAGCGTCAAACTATGGAACAGTCGTGATGGCAAATTCGTCTGCACCCTGAGGGGCCACGTAGGCTCTGTGTATATGTGCGCATGGTCAAGCGACAGCAGGTTGCTGGCTAGTTCGAGCAAAGACACTACCGTCAAGGTGTGGGATGTGAGGACGGGCAAGCTGAAGATGGATCTGCCAGGACACAGGGACGAAGTGTTTGCCTTGGATTGGTCTGTGGATGGCGCCTGTGTGGCTAGCGGTGGGAAGGATAAGATGGTCAAGCTATGGAAGCATTGAGTCTGCTTCCGGATTGGCACATCTCGATTTGATAATAGACTTGCCACGAAATATTCAATGGTTTGGGCGCGCAGGTTCTATGTGATGGTCGTTGAATGATACCCACGAAGAAAAAAGGTCATGGTCAATATTGGATTTCAACAATATATGTGCAATGTTTTTTTTTAATTCTGTGAAATCTGTATGATTCTGGATTGTTACAAGCAACCATCGCCTATACCACCAATCCACCTGTGGTAGCCATCAGTTTTTGTTCCCCCGACGACCAAAAAACCGTACCGACATCTTCCGCGAGCTGTGTTGGTCTACCACCTCGGGCACCTCTTACATTCTAAAACCGGGCTTCTGTCCAGGAGGATTGTAGATGATCTTTCTCGTTTTGATGGGAGCCCACTTGTATCGCTTGATCCAGCCACTCAGGGCCAACAGGGCAGTACCGATGATCAGGACCTTGAAACCCATCTTCTTGCGCTCATCCATTTCCGGTTCTGCAGTCCAGTTCAAGAACTCGACCACGTCTTTGGCCATTTGCGAGCTGGTCGCGGGCGTGCCATCCTCGTACTCGACCAATCCGTCGTACAGAACACGAGCCATTGCGATGCCGGTGCCGGGGAAGTATGGGTTGAAGTTGAGACCAGATTGGACGGTCGCACCCGCAGGCGGTTCCTCCGGGTAGCCGGTCAGTAAACTGAAGATGTAGTTGCAACCGCCATGACGGGCCTTGACCATGAGGGATAGATCCGGAGGAAGGGCACCATTGTTGGCGGCACGGGCGGCTTCGTCATTCTTATACGGGTCGGGGATGTAGTCAGACAGCTTGCCGGGTCGTTTCTCGATCTCTCCTTCGTCGTTGGGTTCAGTATCGTACTCGTTCTCTTCGGCCATCGCCTTGGCTTCGTCGACGGTCATTATCGTACCGACCAGTGACCGATATGGGATTCGCTTGAGAGAGTGGCAGGCGGCGCAGACTTCACGGTAAACTTGGAACCCTCTTCGGAGACTGCCAAATTGTCAACTCAACACGCTCGACAATGTGGTAGTGGGAGCTCTTACGAAGCGTGATCAAATGTTTTTGTCCATTTTGTGTGCTCCCACGGATATTGGGTTGGGTGTAATCTGGAGCCCGTCGTCAGTCGCCTATAGCTCTCCATCGCTTTTTAGGAGCTTACCCCTCTTCTGCAGGAGTCATGGCAAAGACATCTTGACCGAACAAATGGTAGTACCAGGCAATCGAGCCAACTGTTGCTGCCGTCGCAGCTGAAGCGCCTAGTGTAAGGTAAAAGGGAGAGGAGGCGGCTTCGGAAGCACTCGACGATGCAGCACGCTAGAATTCAACGTCAGTCCTAGATCCATTTGAAGTATACAATCGCGCTGTTGGAATATACGGAAAGAATGGTGGACTGACAGTGGTGGTCTTTCGAACAATGGTTCGGGCGGCGACCCTCAATGGGGCGCTGCGGACGGCCGACGTGGCCAACATCTTGTCCAGAAGCCTTATGCTCTCGACAGATGGTGGACTAGCCGTGCAAAGGCGTAGAGGAGAGGGCGAGTCGCGGGGGGTGCAAGGGGAAAAGAATGACTTGAGAAGATGAGAGGATGTCCAAAGTCGAAGCTTGAAGCTACATTTTCCGGGGGTTCATTAGGTTCGCTGTGATTGGCTGGCACTCAATCTTCAAATCCTGGCTTAGCGGCCAGAGCCGTCATGGACACGTGATCTGCCAGCGAAGCGAGGTTCGTCACTTCTCGCCGTCGATTGCTCGTGTAGATACAAGACGGCTCGACGGATCTGGTTGAAAGCTCAGACAGACAACTCCCCTCGTCCTTGCGGCACCGACTGCTGCAGGGCGTGATACCGATGAGTGAAGCAAAGAACCCCTCTTGGAATGACCAATTCAAGAGCACGAACCAGCGCGACTTCAACACCCAAGTCATCATTTCGGTCGTCTTCGGACTGAGTGCGTTTCTTTCCTTCTGCGTATGTCGTCCATATTTCCAGTGCTTCCCCTTGGATACTGACTACCTACAGGTCCTTCGCCCCAAGTGGACCAGCCTTTACCATGCACGCAAAAAACACTCGGGCGCAGCGTCGCGTCTACCCGACTTGCCGAAGTCGATGTTCGGATGGATTCCTGTCCTGCTGAGGATTTCGGACGCAGAGGTTCTCGCCTCCGCCGGTCTCGACGCCTACGCTTTTCTGTCGTTCTTCCGATATGCCATCAAGTTTCTCTCCATCACCTTGTTCTTCTCACTCACCATTATCCTACCGGTGAACTACAGGTACACTGGCGAACTACCCTACCCACCCATTAACGGCACGGCGCCATTCTTCGAGCCTACATATCCCTATGCCGACGATGAGAAGAGACCCAAGAAGCCCAAGATGGAGAAGGATGACAGCTATCTGTGGATGTATGTCGTATTCGCCTACTTTTTCACCGCAGTGGCTGTGGCCCTCTTGATTGTTGAGACCTCGACTATCATTCGAATCAGGCAAGCTTATCTCGGCACTCAGTCCACCATCACCGACCGGACTCTACGCTTGTCGGGCATTCCGAGCGAAATGAGATCGGAGGAGGCAATCAAGAACTTCATTGAGGATCTGCAAATCGGGAAAGTGGACAGCGTCATGCTCTGTCGAAACTGGCGTAACCTGGACGAACTCATGTCGAGACGCATGACATGCCTGCGCAAGCTGGAACAATCATGGGCAACGTATCTAGGCCACACCCACTCGTTTCGCCATTCTCGCCGAGCTCACGCGGAACGTGATCTTCTCGATGACGACGATGAGAGCGGGGCGCTGTTATCACGTTCGGAGATGGAACGAGCTCACTCTACCCCCGTGGGCAGGAAACGGCCAACGGTCAGCCTTCGGTACGGGCCGCTCAAGCTCTACAGCAAGAAGATTGACGCGATCAATTACTACGAGGAGAAGCTGCGGGTTATGGATGAGAAAATCAATGCCCTGAGAAACTCCGAGTTTCGCCCCACACCTTTGGCCTTTGTTACCATGGAATCGACCGCTGCATGTCAAATGGCCGTGCAGGCAATTCTCGATCCAAAGCCCGGGCAGCTCCTTGCCAGCTTGGCGCCGCCGCCAGCCGACGTGGTCTGGAAGAACACGTACCTTTCGAGGAATCACCGCATGATCCGGTCATGGAGCATAATGGTCTTTATCGGGTTCCTGACCATCCTATGGGCTGCCCTTGTTGCTCCTCTGGCAGGTCTGCTCAGTATCGAGGTCATTGACAAGGTACTACCCGGGCTCGCTGCTGCCCTCGAGGATCATGAGATCATCCGATCGCTGGTGCAGACAGGTCTGCCAACCTTGTTATTCTCCGTGTTGGCGTTAGCAGTCCCCTACCTGTACGATTGGCTCGCCAACCAGCAAGGCATGACCTCCCAGGGAGATGTTGAGATGTCGGTGATCTCGAAAAACTTCTTCTTCATTTTCTTCAATCTCTTTATCGTCTTCACGATCTGGGGTTCTGCTACTACATTCTACGACTTCTGGCAGGATCTGCGAGACATCCTGCGAGACACTGCAGGTATTGCCTATGCGGTGGCCAAAGCTCTCGAACAGCTTTCGCCATTCTACGTCAACCTGATTGTCCTCCAAGGCCTGGGTCTCCTTCCTTTCAGGCTGCTCGAATTTGGCTCGGTCGCGTTGTATCCGTTCTACCTCGTCAGCGCAAAGACACCCCGGGACTATGCAGAGTTGTCCCAGCCGCCGATCTTCAGCTATGGCTTCTACCTGCCACAGACCATGCTTATCTTTATCATTTGTATTGTGTACAGCGTCCTCCCTGCCTCATGGATGATCACGTTATTCGGGCTGGTGTACTTTCTGATTGGTGGCTTCATTTACAAATATCAACTGCTTTACGCCATGGAACACCGCCAACATTCCACGGGTCGAGCCTGGCCCATGATCTGCAACCGAGTCATCACCGGCTTGATCCTCTTTCAAGTGGCCATGACGGGTATTCTGGCGCTTCGAGGAGCGCTGACCGCCTCGTTATTCCTGGCGCCTTTGTTGGCCGGTACAATTTGGTTTACTGTATATTTCCAACGTACATATGTGCCCCTGATGCGCTTCATCGCGCTTCGAAGCATCGACCGACCAGGCACGCCTCAACTGCCCACCCCGCCGGAGTCGGCCTGGGACAGAGACACAGAGTACGGCCGTGCCGTCGACACCGACCCAGAGTCTGGCCTGCGTTATATCAACCCCAACCTCGTCCAGCCCTTGGAAACGCTGTGGATAAGAAAGCCTGGACATGGAAGTCATCAGAACAATTGAGATTGGGAAAGTGTATCTTTTCGTCCTTCCATTGGAGCATAGCAAGCGAAGTGATTGAATTTTGTCGTGCTCCTCAGAGATACCCATGTACACAGTTGCCACCCAGTTCGTCTTGATACCCTTGACTCTTAATTTAATATCTCAACCACAAGGTCCTGAGTCGAAACATTGGTTGTGAGTGCTCCTTCGTTCCTTCTCTTTGACATGTCCCTGAAAATGATGATGCACTTCTCCTTCGCTGCTCAAGTTCAGGCAGGTGCAATCATGTCACCCGAGCTGCGTCAGTTCTTTCTCCTGCAAGTGCGACTGGCTTGCGCGCTGCTCAACACCTCAACCTTGATACTCCCGGCCCTCCACAGTCCGTTCCTTTTGCTTCCTACTGCCGTACCTATCTTTACCCCTGTCGCTCACATTCCCTTCATTCGCTTTGTTACATTCCCATTATCACTACTTGTAGCCAACTTACCTGTCGCCACCCTGGCATATGAGATCCTCGTATCTCGAGGAATTGCATCCATACACGACCACGACCTCAAAATGCCCTACCCTGTCAGCCACCACTTCGGCCCCGGTTACCGACCTCCACTCTCTACCAAAGACCTCACACCTGAATATCGAGCAGAGCCAACGAGTCGATGCCAGCAAAGAGCGGGTCTAGCGCTGATACATCTCGGAGATAGTGCGAGGCAGTACTTGGACTCTGGATTGCGTGGCGCAGATTCACCCAGTACACCTCATCTTGTCTCAAACCGTCCGTGGGTTTCGGTATATCACTGCAACTCAGCCAAACGTTACACCGTCAAGCGTCCGCTCAGTTTCACCCATGTCAGTTGTGGACAACCCGGAGCTCAAAGAGATCCTCTCCGCGAATCATACCCAAACCGGCCCTACACGGCAGAATCTCTTATCACTGCCCTCGCAGAGCAGTCCCCTTGCCTCGACCCTCCCGCCATAAGCCTTGATATTCTGCAATACACTGCAGCTTCATGTCGAGTGTGCGAACCTGCCAGTCATGGGCATGAACGAGGTGGACCTAGCTTTCCGAACACAATGGACGGCGCCTGCGACGAGCCCGATGCTCCAACTCCCAGCGCAGTCAGTCGAACCTCCAGTGTGGTTGACATCAAATCACGAATGCCGCGGCCTTCGGTAGTGCATTTCTTGTCTGATGACCATCTGAACTGGAGAGAAAGAGAGCATGCTACCTTTGTGAACCCGTTTTCACCCGAAGACCCGTCGTCCAGGAAGACTTCGACCTCTTCTGAAGCCACAGCCTACCTCCGACCCAATGCTTTTGCGGGTCATCGAGATACGCTGGTAAGACTGCACTACTTCACCTCGAGCGACCATGACAACGAGGACACCGCAGACAGTGACGCGGACTCATTCTCGACTGCCCTCACCCGTCAGCCGTCTAGACGAGCCAGCCTGGCCGGGGCAAATCTGGACCTCTTCTATCCGCTCCAGGTTGTCGATGCCGTGCTTCAGTATGTGGCCTTTAATGATTTTAAGGCTATGCGACTAGTCTGTCGCCAATGGCGTGCAAATCTGCCTCGGCCCAAGTTTCCTGGGGCGTACCTTGTTCCCAGAGAAATATTGAAAGAAATCTTCTCGTACTTGACACCCTGTGACTTTGATGCAGCCCGCCACACATGCAAGGCCTGGTTCTTGGCCAGCCTGGACCGATATGTCTTGGAACCAATGCTCCGAGCAAGTGGGTGTCAGGCTGCGTTGGCCACAGATCTTGAACGGATACATGGGTCTTTCCTCGCAGAGAGACGAAGCTGGGACAGTCGACTTGGCCCAGTGCCGGCTGACGCCGAGAATGCCATTGATACAGAATGGCTATGTTCCAGAAGACTGGCTACAGAAAGTCGACTATCGCCCGACTGGCGAGGCTCTTTCCTGCCCGATGATTCGGCTCAGTCGTCTAGACTCTCAAAGATCGAGGAAGTCGATTTCTCCAAGGTCACAAATCCACCTGTTTCACTGACAAAGTCCAGGTTCACGGTATCAGCATGTGGCAGATTTGTCCTCGTGGTCTCTGGAGGCGACATATCTGTCTACAGCTTGTGCGATTCGGAGCAGTCGCTTGTCCCGGTGGTTAGACTAGCCACAGGGTTTGATGTGTTGAAGGTCAGCATGGATACCAGCTCGGAACGATACTCGGTCGCTGCCCTCCTCGCAGGGCGTATCGGCATGCTGTGGGATCTTCAAGGCAGCCACATCCAGACAAGGTATCGCGACAATTCCGGCGAGACAATGAGCTTGACAATGCAGAAAGACATCCCCGGCCCAGCAAACTACCAGATTTCCACGCTCGCCAGCGTCAACTTACCAATCAATTCCCATCATACACACGCTACGGGAGTATCTGATTCGGACCTTGCGGCGACGACAATGAATGATTACAATCACCCTGTCAGGGCCACACCAAGTCCTCCATTCTTGTGGGACGAGCACATGCGTAGCTCCGAGAGCCCGGAAGAAGTTGAAGATATACACGCCGCGGATGATGCCAATCTAGTGCAAGATCGCTTGGGGATTCCCATTGAGACTCGAGCAACGACGGTTTACAACAATCTTGGAAGCGTGGATGATCAGCCAAGGAGCGTAGCGATTTGCCCCAACCGAAGATGTGTTGCATTTGGTTGTCGGATGGGTATTGAACTTCACTGGGTCGATGCTCTTACTGGAGGTCAACTCAACCGCTGGTTTCCCCTCGCTGCGCCGAGCGACTATCTTTATTTTCTGCCTCGACGATGTGGAATGGACTCGAAGAGGAAGCTCAGGCTGATCTCGAGTGCTGCAGGACCAGTTATCACTCAGCTTGTCAGGAGCGACAGCACACCGGCCACGTCAAAGTACTGGCCTACCCCAGCAACCTTTGGCCGACGACAGAGCTTGACAAGGCTCTTTTTCGGGAATCTGCCATTCCCAATGTCCGTCAGCGGCTCAGGTGACTTGTCTGGCTCGGTCAGCCCTGAAAGAGCCCATGGGGCCCAAGGGGTTTTGCGGACTGTTGATTGTGGTCATTTTCATGCAGTGCCAGTCAGCGACGGATTCCACCTGATTTTCACGGATCCAGGGAGTGGACTTCTCTGCTTGGGCAGTGACGCACCACTAGGAGGCCCGACAAAACTTGTTCGAAAGATCATGTTCATTCCTCCCGGAGAGGGTGGCCGAACGCCTGCACCACGCCGCTACTCTGTCGGTAAAGCCCTGGGTTGGGGTTTGAGGCTCGTCGCCGTGTACGATGATGATCAAGTCGTGCTGTACAATATTCCATCTGATATTTTCGGGCGGCTACAAGGCCAGAGAAGCTCGACCGATATCTGGGACGAGAACTCTGGTGTTGTTGGGCAAAGTGATCTGATCATGGACTCTCTGATGAATCGCGATGAACCCGGCCCGCCTGGTGGTCCAGCGGTCCAAGAAGCCCCGAACACGACGACGGCTATGCTCGGGAGCCTCTGCAACTTGCAGGTTCTCTCATTGCTCGTGTCGCCGACCAACCCGTGGACGATATTGCGGTCCAATCCGAAAATGGTGGACTTTCTTTTTGGCTCTTCTACAGAAGTGGATTGGCAGAATTTTATAGCATCTACGCGCCTTGGCCCCATCAAGTGCGAAGAAGACTTGTAGGGGAGAACGGCTTCATTTGCGACAGTGACAACCAGATGCCTGTCGAGACTAGGACTGTTACCGGGACGGCAAAGGGCAAAGAGAGAGCGGATCAAGAAACCAGGCATGTCAAATGGGCCGGTCAGGGAAATTAGCGACTGAGGTACTTGAGGGAGCGGTCAATGGCGAGCCAAGCTTCACGCCGCTGAGATTGTGCTCATACAATGGCGTCATGTCTATAACTATCTGGTCAGCCCACGAAGGAGCGAGAGTGGTAGCTGGGGAAGGGGTCGTGGATTCCACCTGGGGTTGCTATCCTGCACCTATCTTGAAGAGGACGAAGTCTGTAAGAACAGTGTCGTACGAGTGAAGTTGGATTAGTCGCAAGAACCACCATATTAGTATACCATCGTGCATTTCCACCTTGACCCTCCGACCGTCCTTTGCGCGGCTCACGTCCATCTAGAGCTACTTGGTATTAATATCGCCCTCAAGACTCCATATTCAACGCTTTTAGCAGCGTCCTCCCCAATCGTCCGACCTGCTCCGGCGTCGTGGTCAAACTTGTCATGAAGTAGATGACATCGCCCAAGACGCGCGAGTGGATCCCGCAGCCGTCGTCGTCCAACAAGGTCAGAAGACACGACTGGAGATCCGCCGAGGCCGTCGACGTGTAGCCGCCTGTGGAACCGTGCGGGGCGGCCATTTTGAGGACGAGGACGGTGCCCAGCGCGAAACAGCCCGTCAGGCGGGGGTGGTGGGAGAGTTCTTGGAGGAGGGACGGCGGGAAGAAGGAGTAGATCTCGGCTGCGCTGGCTGAGCTGGCAGGGCTTGCAGAGGAAGAGGTGGAAGCGGAAGGTCCTGACCAGGCACTCTTGAAGTGGCTCCAACTCCCGTCCCGGCTCGTGTCCATCCGTCGATACTCGTCCAGGGCCTTGTTGCCTACCATGCACCCGATGGGGTGGGCCGTGTAGGAGTGGCCGTGCAAGAGTGCGTCGGATTTTGAGTCGGAGAGGAACGTCCGGAAGATGGATTCGCTTGCCGTTGTGAGAGCCAGGGGCAGGAGTCCGGCGGTCAGGAGCTTGGCGTGCACGGAGATGTCGGGCGCGAGGGAGGGCGGCAGGGCTGGCTGGGTGGAGTTCGAGATCGTGGATGGAGAGGCTGCATCGCCAAAGTCGGACGGACAAGACAGGAAAGACGACGAGCTGGCGCGGCCAAGACGGTAGAGGCCGGTGAAGACTTCGTCGGCGACCACGGGGAGCCCGGACCACTCTACAGCGCCTTCGCTGTCTGGGGTACTAGGCTCGGAGAACTGCTTCGTTGGACTACCGGCTCCGATCAGAGAAGGATTTGCTCGAATGGTTTTGATGAGCGTC